AAAAAGGAATACAAGGAAATGTGTGATAAAAAGAGGAAAGAAGAAAACGAGAAATGGATAAGAAAAGCGGCAGAGGCAAAGACGGAAGGGCAGGTATGGGAGGTTATAAACAGGGGAAGGAAGGAAGGTAGAGGAGTAGAGGAAGGAATAGAGATGGGGGAGTGGAAGACGTACTTTATGGAATTGTTAGGAGGGGTAGAAACAAAGGTAAGGAGAGGGACAAGGGAGGGAAGGGAAGAGGATGGGGAAAGAGAAATGGAAGAGGAGGAAATAAACAGAGTGATAAAGAGAAAGAAAGATGGAAAAGCAGCGGGGACGGATGGTATCGCAAACGAGATTTGGAAATATGGGGGGGAAGGAGTGAGAAAATGGGTGAAAGAGTTTTGCAATAAAGTCTGGAGGGGGGAAGGATGGCCAAAGTCATGGGGGGAGGGCATAATAGTACCGATTAGGAAAAAGGGAGAAGGGGAGGTGGTGGAACATTACAGGGGGGTAACGTTGATGCCGACGCTGTATAAGATCTATGCGGCGGTGTTAGGGGAAAGAATAGGAGAGGAAGTGGAGGAAAAGAGGATAGTGCCGCACAACCAGACGGGATTCAGGAGGGGAATGGGTACAGTTGACACATATACGTGTTAAATTACATAGTCAATAGGCAGCTGGAAAGGAAAGGAGGGAAGGTAACGGCACTATTTGTCGACGTTAAGGTAGCGTTCGACTCAGTGGAGAGAAGGATTTTGTTGGAGGCAATGAGGGAGAGGGGGATAAGGGAAGGCCTGGTGACGAGGGTGGCGGAGATTTACAGGGAGACGAGAAGTAGGGTAAGAGTAAGGGAGAGCATAGGGGAAGAGTTTTGGACAGCGAGGGGGGTGAGACAGGGATGCCCAATGAGCCCAATCTTATTCAATATACTGACGGCTGATTTAGAGGAGATGAGGAAAGTGAAGTGGGGGGGGGGTAAAGGTGGGAGGAGAGAGAATATACACCTTGGCTTATGCAGATGATGTAGTGCTATTAGCGGAGGAAGAAGGGGAGATGAGGAGCATGATGGAGAGACTGGAGAGGTATTTAGATAGGAAGGGACTTACGTTAAATAGCGGGAAGACGAAGATAATGAGATTTAGAGCAGAGGGAGGGAGAAGAAAAGAAATAGATTGGAGATGGAAGGGGGAAAGGATAGAGGAGGTAAAAGAATTCGGATACTTAGGATACAAATTACAAAGGAACGGGGGGCAAGAAGCACAGGTAAGAGAGAGGGTAAGGAGGGCAGCGACGGCGATGAGACAAGTATGGGGGATAGGGAAGAGAAAATTCGGAAAAGACTGGAGAAGGAGATTATGGTTATTCGATAGGCTAGTATACCCGGTGCTAGAATATGGAGCAGAAATATGGGGGTGGAAGGAGAGAGAGAAAGTAGAAGCATTACATGAGAAATACCTGAGATGGACGTTAGGAGTGGAGGGAAGAACACCAGGATATATAGTGAGGGAGGAGCTACAAAGAGAGAAGTTAAGGGGGAGATTGGGTAAAAGAGCAAGGGGATTCGAGGAAAGATTAAAAGAAGGAAAAGGAAGCGATTTAGCGAGAAAATGTTGGGAGGAAAGGAAGGAGAGGGAGAGGAAGGGAAAGGGGGAGTCGAAATGGGAAAAAGAAAGGAGGGAATTCTTAAAGAAGAGAGGGATAGAGGAGGAGTCAGAAGAAGGAAGTGAAGAGGGGAGGGATTGGAGAAGGGAAATAGAAGAATGGGAAGGGGAGGAGCAGAGGAAGGAAAGGTGGGAAAGAATCAGGGGATCGAGATACAATAGGTGGTACAAGGAAGTTAAAAGGGAAGGAATACCGGAATATCTGAAGAAAGGGTGGGGGGAAAGCAGATGGAAAAGGGTAGCAAGGTTCAGAACGGGGGGAGAGGTGAGAGAAAGTAGATATTGGGAAGGAGAAGGGGAGAGGAGATGTAGATTATGCGGTAGAGAAGAAAGATGGGAGCATTTATGGGAGGGGTGTAGGAGTTGGGAGGGGAGGGGAGAACAGAGTTGGTAGGAGGCATACGAATGGGTGTTAGGTGAGGGAGGCGAGGGGGAGCGGTGGATGAGAGAGGTGGAGAGAAGAGGGGAGAGGAATGAAAGATGAGAGTGAGGAGGAGCGGGAGGAGGAAGTGAAGGAGAGAATGAGAGAGAGAGTAAGGGAGGGAGGGGGGGGGAGAGAGAGAGAGGGAGAGAATGAGAGAGGGAGAGACAGAGGGAGAGAGGGAGGAGAGAGAGTGAATGAGAGAGAGGAGCACCGGGAGAGGGAGAGGCTAAGGGAAAAAGGGAACATGAATTTTGGTAAATAATATTGAAGGAAAGAAAATAAAGAAAAGCAAGAGGAAACGGAAGTCGAGAGGGGGGAAGCGAGCGTAAGGTGTGTGTGTGTGGCGGGAGAAAAGTGAGCGTGGGCGCGTGGACTTGCGTGGACACGCGCCCACGCAAAGTAGATTTAAGAGAACATTGTAAAGCGGAGGAAAGGGGTGTTTTTATTGCGAATATAGGAAACGGAAGAGAGGAAGGAAGAGAAGAGGAGGAGAGGGAGAGGAAGACGAAGGGAAGAGGAGAGCAGAGGAGGAGGAAAGAGAGAGATAGAAGAGGATGAAGAGGAGAAAGAAGGGGGGGTGTAGAAGGATTGTGAGGTCGCCAATGACCAGGAAATGGGAGAAAGAATTGTTAGGGGTTCGGGCACGCTCCCACGAAAAAGCGCCTTGTAAACCCTGAGGGGAAACAAAAAATATATTCATTCATTTATTCATATAATCATGACCTTTCTTAATATTGTACAATACAGGTGTTCTTATTATGTAAAATTCGTATATTTTACAGTGCTGTTCGATATTAAGGACTGCGACGTTGTATGGCAGGGTTACAGTGCTCTACTACGATAGTAAGAATTCCAACGTTATATTGAAGCTTCACAATTATACTCGTTCCAACAGTTCAGACTTTTATATGTGAGTACAGTAATTTTAATTATTCTTTTCTGTCTTCGCTTATCTATGTCTATCTATGCTGCGCGCGCGCGCGCACACACACACACACACACACACACACACACACACACACACACACACACACACACACACACACACACACACACATATAGTTTTTATTAAATTAAATTACATTTTATTTAACATAAACGTAGCATATTCGAGTTTGACATATTTTTTTACAATTTATTGATTATAAATTTTCAACATTTAATTTTGAAACATGATTATTTAAGGTCACATATTTACAAAGGATGTCGAGAGATATAGATATATGTTTTTTGTCGAAACGAAGAAAAAATCAACTAATTAGTTCAACAATAAATTTTTACAAGGATTCACTCACAAAGGATTGTATTAAGTGTGATAGCGCACATCAATCTACATCAATTACGCGTCCAGAAGAGACATCGAATAATGAAAGAGAAATCGAAAAATCAACTCGTGTATTTTCGGAAAATGTTCTTCTTAATTCTCCATCGGATATAGAAGAGAATTGTTATCGAGAAAATCCGTTGCTTGAAGTTGAACAGCATACTATTTCTTCAAATTCAAGTTTCTCAGAAAATGAAAATTACTTTAGTTATAATGATGAAAATAGTACTTCGCAAAATTTAAGTAGTAAATTACGATCGTGGATTATTAAAGAACATATACCTCATAAATCTGGTAATGCTTTATTAAAAATACTTCGCGATTGTGGTCATAATTCGCTACCTAAAGACATTCGAACGTTAATGCAGACACAAAGAAAAAGTACGCAACAGATTGAAAAAATGGATAACGGTTGTTATGTACATTTCGGACTCTTTAACGATTTGCAACGTTCAATAGAAAGATATTTTAAAGAATGTCCAGATTCTATTAAGTTATTAATTAATTGTGATGAAATGTCGTTATCAAAAAGTTCTGGTAGCCAGTTTTGGCCTATTTTAGTGTCAATATATACGGATATTCGTACAGAACCTTTTCCCGTTGGTGTATATCATGGCTCTTCGAAGCCAAAAAATGCGAATACTTTTTTAAGTTACTTTATAAACGACATGATAGAGATTCTTAGAAATGGCATTTTGTATAATAATAAGATATGTAAAGTATCGATTGCAGGCATCGTGTGTGATGCTCCTGCAAGAGCTTTCATAACATGTACAAAAAGCCATTCCGGTTATTTTAGTTGTAACAAATGCACTCAAGAAGGAGAGTACGTAAATTCTGTCATTTTTCCGGAATTAAAATTTACATTAAGGACTAATGAATCATTTCGTACCAAAAAACAAGAAGAACATCATACAGGTGTCTCTTTTTTGGAAAAATTGGAAATTGATATGGTCAATCAAATCGCATTAGACTATATGCACCTTGTTTGCTTGGGAGTAATGAAACGACTTCTCCTATTCTGGGTAAAAGGTTCGAAGAATGTTCGTTTAAATATGGAACACCAAAAGTACATATGTAATGCATTATCAGAGGTAACATTTTCAATTCCATCAGAATTTGCACGATTGCCACGAAGTTTAAGTGAAATAGACAAATGGAAAGCAACTGAATTCCGTTTATTTCTATTATATATAGGACCTGTTGTTTTAAAATCAACAATGTCTAAAGAATATTATACTCATTTCCTTACGCTTAGTATTGCTATAAGGATTTTGTGTGATCCTAAGTTATGTATAGAAAAGAATGATTATGCACATAATTTGTTGGTTTATTTCGTAGACAATTATAAAAATATGTATGGTCGACAATACATGTCGTATAACGTTCACAATTTATTACATTTAGCAAATGAAGTTAAAACTTTTGGCTCTTTAGATAATTTTAGTTGCTTTCAATTTGAAAATTATTTACGACAAATAAGGCTAAAAGTTAAAAATTCAGGAAAACCTCTGGAACAATTAATAAATAGAATAAGTGAAGAAAATCAACTTCCTATTATAAATGATTGTATAAAATTATATCCACATGTTCATTATTCGAAGGCAGGAAAAATTAAGTTTGTAGAATTAAAAGAATACCTTATTTCCATAAAAGATCCAAATAATTGTTGTTTATTGAAAGATGATTCTATTTTTATTGTAAAAGAAATTGTTTTAAACAGACAATTGTATATTGTTGGTGATCAATATACTGAGATTGAACCATTATTTCTTAGACCTTGTAATTCATTACATTTGCAGATTTCTGTACTAGGTGAACATTTTAATAATATTACTGTTCCAATTTCTGAAATTAAACAGAAATGTATAAAATTTACATATTTTGGGTGTGCAAAACCTGTAATTGTACCATTAATTCATCACAATTAATTAACTGTAAAATTGTGAATGAAAATAATGTAATTATTATCTATACATGTATATACACAATAAATGCATATACACATTTATTCATTTAGTTATTGCTTCCTCATAGAGGAAGCTTTGTTTTCGTGAAAAAAATTTTTTTCCAGTTTTCTTTGGGAATATGTTTAAAATGTTTTAAAACGTAAAAAAAATATATTTTTACAAAATGTCTGTATGTGTGTGTGTGTGTGTATGTGTGTATGTACGCATATTTTGAATGTCTGTGACTGCTCTAACTTCCGTAAATTTTGAGATATCGGACTAATTTTTTTTAA